CAGCATAATTCATGTAGGCCCAAATGTCTACACTGCCATTACCTTGCTTGGTTGGTTTTCATGTACAATTCAAATCAAATTACTCTTGAGGTGATCGCAATAGCAGAACACAAAGCAATAACATATTTTTGCATATCTACCTCAACATTCATTTTGTCTGAGAATATAACATTTCACCACTTGCTGTCGTGTTTCATCAAGCAAATTAATTTTATTAATTAAAAACGTTTATCTCATTGTGTTGCCCACCAGACTATCCAGATCCATAATGTCATCTGTTTCAGTATAAAGTTTTCAAATATGTGAATATTCAATTTTTAACTTATTGGCTATTTGACGAGGAGATAGTACTTGGTTTTAAATAAAAATAGATTTATAAAATGTTTTTTCAGAGAATCTCAACCATGATTTTGAAGTTTCATGCTGTATTACTTCACTCATTATGAGGCTTTTTCAATATCTAGTTTATTTGTGTTTTCATCAGTACTATTTCAAAATTAGAAATTTAGAGTTAATAAATGCTAATGAAAATCAAATTAAATTATTAAAAAAATATTACATAAATTTTAAAAATAAAGCAGTAAGCATTAATTTTTAATGAACAAAAAAAGTTTAAAAAAATATAGTCGATGTTATAAAGTTACATATAACTAGGGATACACATGAAACTTTATGGTAACAACTTGTCTATTAAATAAAAAACACGATACTTATTATATATATATAAATATATATATATATATATATATATATATATATATATATATATATATATATATATATATATATATATATATATATATATATATATATACATATATACCTTAATATAAATGTATCATACATCTACGAAAGTAGTGTTGGGTAAATTCTATTTTTGTTCAGAAAAAAATTGAATACTCAGATCTGAAAACAATTTCAAATCAAGATAAGACTATTCGAAATAAAAAAGTAAAAATTATTAAATTGTATCGCTCAGATTTTTAAAAACACAGTTTTGAAAATGTAAACAAATCACGCTTTTAACAGTCAGATAAATGTAGCAGAGAATCACAGTTTTTTATATATTTAAACATCTTTATATTGTTTTTATCATTTTGGAATCAACAATTCAATTATCTTTATTATTATTTCATTCTATCAAAAATATGCAAATAATAACTACTAAGTAAAACTTTAAAAATATTGTTGCTACTCAAAAAAAATTTTGGTATCTAAAGGCCGTCACCATCTTTAAAATTATAATATTTGAATTTGACCCTGCGCTTGCGTATAATAACTTCCACATCTAAACGACCGTGACCAATAAACGCATCTTCAGACATGTGTAGAGGTAGCTCTACAATAAACTCATTGTTTTTTTTTTCAATCTGATTTAAGCTTTTAGATACAAAACTGAAGTTTGCCATTTTAAAAACTAATAATAGGAATAAAATGTTAGCGCATTTGAAAATAAACGAAAGGTTAGCAGACGATCCCACGGCTCAAAAGGAGGTAAATAATTTCGTTTGCCGTAGAGTTTTTCCCATTGCTCAGAAGTAGGTAGGTTTTTTTGGAAACCGTTGAGTTTATGCATAAAAGTAAACAAAAATTGACACGAGGTTTAAGTAAATAATAATATGGACTTATTTTCAGTTTTTTATCAAATCAAATCAAATCAAATCAAATATATTTCGAAATAAGAAATAACATTTCAAGGAAACTTACAATAATACAAGTACTAACATAAAGTAAATACCTCAATATTCAACGTAACGTTATAGTCAATGATGAAAGTAATAATAATAACTGTTATTGATAATAATAATAGCAATAATAATAATAATAACAATAATAGTAATAACAATAGTAATAATAATAATAATGATAATAATAATAATAATAAAAAGAAATATATCTTTGTTGAGTATAATAAATTTTATATATAACATTAAAAAACTAAAAAGCATTTTATCGTTTATACGGCAAACTAAAGTGCATCTTTTTAAATCCTGACATATACTATAACTTACAGTATTTATTTTTCAACTTTTGAATTTTTTTCTTCTTATAATTTTCTTATTTGTTTTAATATTTTTTATTTTCAAATGTTTTAGGAAACAGAGTTTTGTTTTATTGAATTTTTATTTTATTTAAAAAATAAAGTGTTTTTTTTTTAAATAAGCGATTAAAGGAGCTCTATGAAAAAGTTGTGACGAATAACGCATCATCTTTACCTTCTTTGAGTTCCTGACTGATAAAGCATCAGATAATACCAGGTTTATTTATGGTTTTAATAAGTTTCTATTTAATGATATTGTTTATTATTAAATCGTGTTTATGATATTGTTTGTAAAGTTCTATAAAATATCGGCGTACATAGTCTTTTGAATATTTATATAAAAAACCGTTAAAAACAAAAAAACAAAACAAAAACAAATCAATGCTATAATTTCTTTTGACTCAAATACCAAAACCTAGGTTTCTGAAAAGAAGCCGTGACGTAACCTCCGTCATCCTGATTTCGAACGTCGTCTGAAGGTGCACATTTATGGCGTTGTATTTCAAGAGCCTCCCTAACTTTTCTTATAAATTCATTGCCCTCTACTTTTAAAGAATTTTTATTGTTTCAATATTGAAAATAAAAATGAAGAAATTTTAACAAAAATATCATGTATTAACAAACAAATTATATAAAATATAAATCTTATTTGAGCTTACTTTTTTTTTTATGAATTTATTTAAAATTTATTTTGTAGCTAAAAAAAATCAGCAGAGAAATCATAAAATTTAAAATAAAAATAGTTAATGACTAAATAATATCTTTAAAGTATACTTTCAGTAATTTAACGCAACAACCCATTAAACTATCGACTTATCTCACGCACTGTCCCTCGCAAGATAATGGAAAACCTTGTACACAGACAATTCACCAACCTCTTGAACAAAAATAAACTCTTCAGCTCTGCTCAACACAGGTTCTGAAAGGGAAAAGTTTGCGTTACAAACCTATTTGAAACTTGCGACGTCCTGATTGAAGCTGTTTGCAAAGGTTACGCAACCAATATCTTATTCACAGACTTTGTTAAAGCACTCAATAAAATTCCGCACCGTCGTCTGATGCATAAACTGAAATTTTACAGAGTGTCCAACTACTTGCATAAATGGATCAAGAACTGGCTAACCGACCATCTACAACGCGTAACAATTGATTACAATAAATCCGATTGAAAAACAGTATCAAGCGGTTTGCCACAAGGATCTGTTCTTGGACTACCCCTTTTCTCTATTTACATTAATAATTTGCTAAACAAAATACAACACCACTTTAAAATATTTGCAGATGATGTAAAATAGTTAAAGTTATCGAATCAAACCATGACATCATAAAACTCCGAGCCGACATCAACGAAGCAGTGAAATGATCAAACTCATGGCTCATGTCATTTAATGTTGACAAGTGCAAAGTCATGCACACTGTTGTGCAGCAACAACAAAAATTGACTGCAATTTATATAATAAATAATTTGGTAGACCAACTGCACCAGCTATCATGCACATCATCTAAACAAGATGTTTTTTATGACTAGCAATTTAAACGTTAAAAAACAAGTCTAGGCGGTTGCATCAGCTTGCGAACCGAATGCTTAGCAAGCCAATAAAAGCTTTTCGAGGTCGAAATTCTGCATTATGGCGCATATAGAGTTCGCCCTCAACTTCAACCAAAACAACCAACACAAAGTACAGCCTTCGGTCACTTGAACACACTAAACAACTATAAGTACAACTTGATCAAAACTGCGCTGAAAGAAACAACTTCCTCACCAAACGTATTCTAAAACCATGGAATTCTTTAACCCAAAATGCGGTGGACGCAAAGAAATTGAACAATTTCAAAGACGAACTTTCTTTACTTATAAATTTTCATTTTAGCTGAAATTGAAAAACTGTATTTTCATTCATTTTAAACATGTCGTCATAAAATGTAAAGATTACATGATAAGAACAAAAAGTAAATGATAATAAAAAAATTTACAAAATTAGATCGATAAAAAATAAAAGAACGCGGAGACTTGTAGAAGACCGTTAGGTCTCGTCGTCAAGACCGCTTACATAAACGATATAATTTCTCGTATTGTTCGTAAAAGATAAAGAAGATAACTACAAATTTTTTTTAACAGAAAAGTTCGTTGAAATTATTAACTTTTGATTTAAGGAAGATTTAAAAAAAATTAAAAATGAATTAAGCCTAATAACATATGTTATTTAATTGAAAATTCAACTTTCGAGCAAAATAACTTCAACAAAAAATTCTAGAAAATTTTCTAATTTTTTTATCTAAACAACAAATTTTTCAAAGAAAAACAAATGGGTGAAAACTTAAACATCTAAAAATTATTGACATAAAAATAAATTTATATTATGCAAATTGAAAACGAACATAGTTTCAATTTTTCATAACAAAATTCAAATTTTTAAAATTACATAAAAGTAAATACAAAAAACATTATATAAAAAATTTTCTGCATAACGTTACAAATTATTTTAGCAATTTTTATAATAGTTTTAAAACTTCTGAAAAATATTTAAAGTTAAATCATTAAATAAAATATAACAAAAAATAATTTAGTTTTTATTTATCTTAATTAAAGTTATTTATTTGTTAATTATAATATTTATTAAATGAACAATGAAAAAAATTATAAATAACAAAAATCATTAACAAAACATTCAAAAAGTTTTTGATAAATTATTATCAAGTTAGAATTATTGTTAGTAATGTTATTAAATAAAAATTATATATATTAGTAATACAATAGTTTATATATTAAAACAAATAATTATATGTATTATAATTATTGTAATTATTATTTATAATATATCTTGATCCTTTAATTAAAAAAATGATCCTTTAAAAAATTTAGAAAATTAATTTAACATGTAAGTTTTTAAACATTGTTTTAATTTTAAGTTAATTCATAAATTTTAAAACATATTTATTTATAAAATAATATATTAAATATTTCATTTTTTATTTTATAGTTACTGTTTATATATAATTTATATTATTAAACATTTTTCTGTGTTATATAATTTTTTAATTTATCGAGGTTATTAAAGTTTTTTCCACGGTACTCTATCCACAACTTCTTGATATTTGAACAACGAATCCATTCATAAATCTCTTCCATGAAATCGATGTCTTTGTAAAGTTCAAGATATAATCCTTCACAAAGATTAATCCACGGAAGAAAGTTTTTTTCAAAATCTTTTTTCGATATTAAATCACGTGAGATGTCTATATACAAGCCTTCAATCTTATCTTTCGGTTTCCATCCTTCGATGTTAATTAGACAATAAAAGTCGACTTCGCGAACATTTGTAGAACATTGAATTATAAGATTTTTTTCTTCATCACTTAAAATATTTTTGTGAACACTTTTATTTTTACGAACAGTTAACATAGATAACTTTCTTCCAGATTTAATGTAATGATTTACAAAATAGTTTTCACAAGAAGTTTCGTAAGAAGTTTTTCCATTGTCAATCGAAATCGTCCACTCTCGTTCATCGATAAATTTTATTTCATCAGAAAATGATGACTGACTTTCATAAAAACATTCAATGAATAAATTAACGTAATAAGTTCGAAGTTCATTATTTTTTTTATCACATTGACGATATAATTTAAGTAAACAATCTAAAAAAAAAACAGTTATTAAATGCAAATAAATAAATAAGTAATAATTTGAACAATAATCGGAATTAATAACATATTCAAAATATATACAATAAAATAATCAAAATAATAATACATATATTTCTAAATATAAAACTTATAACATAACTTTATGATAAACATTTTTATATATATAATATATTTATACATTACCTATTAAAAATCATAAAAAAATAAAAAATCAATACAATTTATTTAATTTTATTAGTTTAAATATAATTTTTATCACATTTTTAAAACAAGTTAATTTCATCTTTCCATATATATATATAACATGTTTAAAATAATGTTTAAAAAAATGTTTAAAAAAATGTTAATGTTTAAAAACATGTTTACAAAAAATTAACCATTAATTCAAATTAAAAAAATACATCCTTATAAAACAAATTAAAAAAGCAATTAAAATTTAACTAAATAATGTAACAAGGCAACAAACCAAACGCCTTTTATTTAAACGTAAATTGTATGTTTTAAATCGAATTTCTAATAAAGAACTCTATCAAAGTGACTACTTTAGTTTAAATATTTGTTTATTCGATTTTGATGTTAAATAAAATTTTTTTTAAAAAAGCTTATTAAAGGAAAGTTTACATAATTTATAGCTTTCATTAAAGATTATAACAAAAATATGATATAATGTTGATATAGTTGCAACAATTAACAACAATTGTATCGTTAAAGCAGACCTACAAAGCTATGGTCGACAGGTAAACGGTTTATACGTAGAAGCATACAAGTGCAAAACCTTTTTTTATGTTCCTTAGAGATCACACATAAATTACGTCACGCTCTAGGAAAAAGGGGGAAGGAATTGGTGGATTCGTAACGACTCGTACGGGTCTTGTTACTTAAGACTTACAATCTTGTGACGAGGGAAAGATGGGTCGAAAACGGTCAAAAATTGCATAATGTAATTTATAGTGATCCATTTCCAAGTAATCCTTACGGTCTTATCATTTATAAAATCAAGATTTTCAAGGTACTAACTGAACATTTGATGCATGTTTTTTTCATAAGAAATTTGTTAATCAGAAACTAGTACTAGGAGCTCCAAAATCTTAAGAAACTTTTAGTGCTAGGTTACTTTTCAATAAGAAACAATTTTTAAATAAGAGTTTAAGGTATATTTCCTACTTTTTCACCTACATATCGTAACAACATAACAAAAAGTTAAAAAGCATTATTTACAACGGAAACAAGTTTAAATGAGTTTTCAACATTTTATTAACAAGTTTAAGAGTTCAAGAATTTGCACGCGTTATGAAATTTACACAATTTATTCAATTGCGAATAAAATACGTATATCATACAAACAAACTTGAAAAAATCGTAACCTAACCTAATACTAAAAGTTTCTTGAAAGTATTGAAAAATGGTACTTTTATGATGAAATCTTTCTTGTTCTAGCCCATTTCTTGGTTTTTTACACACACAAAAAAAAGCAACATGTAACTCTAGACCGAGCTACAAAAACAGATAAATGCTATTAGAAAAAAAAAGCATGAAACAAAAATAAAATAAAAACCGATAATTTAATCGATCGACATTATATGTATTTTAAATATATTTTTATGAATTTTAAATATTTAACATGTCTCTGTATTCAGAGACACCAAGTTTAAAAAGGTTATCAACGTTTTAAAAAAACCTGTTGTAAGCTAAACAAAGTTTCAATTTACTTTCTAGAATGTCACTGTATTACTTAGTTGAACTTACATTTACAAATTTACAAAATAAAAATAAAGTTTGTTGAATAGACAATCGATTAACATCTCATTAATGTTGAAAAATTAGTACAGCATGTTATATTTTGATGTATATATTTAAAATAATGAGATGAAGTATAAATCAAACTATTACAATTATTTATGAAATTCAAATGCTGACTTTTTAGGCCTTTTGTTTTTGTATTTTAATAATACAATTTACTTAATAAAAAAACAAAAATAAGCTTATTATCAACAATTCCATATAATCGTTATAATTTATTGTTTTATAACTATTCATATTTAGTTTCAATAGATAAATTTTTAAATAAAATAAAATAATAAATTTTGAATTATACTTACGACTAGAGAAGTTTGAGAGCTGTGTTATTTAAAAAGAATGGTAACAAAATGAGATTTTATATATTTAAAAACTCGATCATCGATCCTTTGACAAAATCGAAAACAAATGAAATTCAAAAGAACCGTTTTGCTAATAAATATTGCAGTTTATTGTAAAGTTTCAGGTTTATTGAAAAAAAAAAAAAGAATTTGACTTTTCAAGATTAGATTTGTTGATAGCATTTTATAAAATGACTATAAACAAAGTTTACAGCTTAAAAATACGTTGATTAATAAATTAGAAAGTTTTATTGGATAACATAATTCTAAAGGATAACTTTAGAATTATGATATCCAATAAAACTAGTAATTCTAAAGGTTTTTGCTTAAAGAAAATAATTTAAAAATAATAAAAACATTTGTTATGTCACTATTGTAACTTAAAAGTCACTATATAATAGATAAAATTATTTATTAACCGAAAAAATTTGTAAACTATTATAAGTTACTTTATTAATTCCTATTAACCAAGAAATCATAATAAAAAAATAACTCACATATAACAAATATCAAAAAAATAATTACCTCAATTAAATAAACGAAACGACAAGACAAATGAACTAATTATAAACCGCTATTTTAATTGTTGCTTTTCTGATATTCAGAATTTTTATCTTCAGCCCTGATGACAAGATGAGATGATGTGAGATTTTACAAATAAGTAAATGTTCATTATTAAAAAATTTTTTAATTTGAACTAAATAATTATATGTATTGGGTTGGGGAATAAGATTGTTCGGTATTTTTTAAAGAGAATTATTTAAAGGATTTGTTTGTTGTTGAGCAAAGTGTTTGTAATTCTTAGACTGTTTTTTTTACTCTACAAAACTGTGTTTGTTGTTTTTTTTGAATGTTTTTATTTTTTGCTATTTTCTACCCTTAGAAATGGAATACCCAGGTGGCAAAAGTTCAGCATCTTCGACACCTACTTTTCTTTGCTTTTCATCGCGGTCAAAAAACAGCTGAAGCCGCTTGTGACATATGCAACGTGTATGGAGAAGGTGTCATAAGTGAGCGCGCAACACAGAAATAATTTGCGAAGTTCAAAAACGGCGACTTTGACCTCGCAGCAGACGACCCACAGAATTTGATGAGTAGCATCTCAAGGCACTTTTGAAGGAAGATGATTGCCAAACAAGTCGTGAAGTGGCCAAAAAAAGTGAACTGCAATTATAAGACAATTTTCAATCATCTTTACTCAATGGGATTTGCTAAAAAACTCGGAGCCTGGGTGCCTCACAAGCTTAACGAAGTCTACAAAGAAAATTATCTTCAAATTGCTGCTCAACACCTTGCTCACCATCGAGCAACACGCGGCTATAAACAACGCTTTTTGTACCAAATTGTCACGGAAGATGAGAAATGGTGCCTATACGTCAATATGAAACAAAAAAAGGAGTGGGTGGCCCCAGGAGACACGCCAACGTCGAGGGTCAAGCAAGATCTCCACCCAAAAAAATCATGATCTGCGTTTGGTGGGACTGGGAAAGCATGATACACTGGGAATAGCTTGAAAGGAACGCAAAATTCAATAAAGAGCTCTACCTTGTCCAACTACGCCGCGTAAACGAGGCTATGCGACTAAAAAGACCTTATCGGCAAGGCCAAATCATCTTGCTCTACGACAACGCCAGACCCTATGTTGCACAAGTTGTCAAAACCGCACTCCAAGAGCTCGATTGGGAGGTTCTTCAACATACACTGTACTCTCTGGACCTTGCACCAACAGATTATCACCTTTTCGACTTCTTGTTGAATCAAATGAGGGTGTTAACTTTGATGGCGAAAAGGACTTCAAAAACTGGCTCAACAACTTTTTTGACACCTGATTTTCGACAGGAGATTTTTGGCGGAACGGCATCAAATTGGTCAAGAGGTGGTGTATATATATATATATATATATATATATATATATATATATATATATATATATATATATATATATACATATATATATATATATATATATATATATATATATATATATATATATATATATATATATATATATATATATATATATATATATATATATATATATATATATATATATATATATATATATATATATATATATATATATATATATATATATGTATATATATATTAAAAATAAGGACTCCATACAGTTTATCGTGAACAGCCGTTCCTCTCATTGCAAGTTTTATATTTCTACTGTCACTAAAACAATGTTAAGTTGCGAATATTCCGAGGATTAGATACTTAAGAGAAAGAGTATATGTGTGATATAAACTGTAATTTAGATATATCTTCCAATCCTTTGAACAATGTTTAGGTTTGGTAAAATGTGGTCTGAGATGATCAGACAGAAAAAGTCAAGTTTGTTATTTATATTTTATTATAATTAACATACAACATATAAAAATATTTATTAAATAGTCCAAGACTCTCAAAATCAACATAAGTCTTGAATACATTGCACAAAATTGTAAACTAAAATCATATTAAACTAGGGCTTTTATCTAAACAAGCAGGAAAGTCAATCCATAGAAAGTTTAAATTATTAGCATAAACTTCTCTATAGATTAACTTAATATGAAGTATTAGTCACAATATTAAACTAAAACAATCCCCAATGTGTCATATGTGAAGGGTTTGATGCGAACTGTTGTAAAATGTAGTTGTAGACATAATATTTTTTTAATCCATTTATTTAACAATTAAATATAAAAATTTACAATATTATTTTTTTTATAAATTCACATAAATAAGGTTAATTGTCTTTCATATAGTTAAAAGCTAGTCAATGGAGTGACAAAAGAAGAAAAACAAATAGAAAAAAAATATATGTAAATAAAACATAGAAAGAATTCAAAATAAGATAAAAAAAAA